ATGACCCAGAGGTCCAGCCCCTGACCCAGACCTCTATCCCGGGCCCAAAACCGCCCTCCAGTGGCCAGACCTCCCTCCCAGGACCCAGACCTCCACCTGGGCATCAGACCTACATCCAGGTCCCAGACCATCAGTCCAGGTCCCAGAGGGCAATCCCAGGGCCCTGCCGTCAAACACAGCCAAATGTGTCACGGGCCCAGACTTCCACCCAATGTCCAGGTCTCCATTCCATGACCCAGTGGTCCATCACAGGAACGAGACCTCCCTCCAGGGCACAGCCCTCCATCCTAGGTCCCAGACCTCCATCTGGGGTCACACATACTACTACATCCTCGTCTGAGATCTTCATGCCAGGGCCCAGAACTCCATCTGGGGACCCTGTCCTCGAACCCAGAATCTAGTCCTGTATTGGGTGCCCAGACCTCCAGCCTTGATCAAGACCTCCATCCCAGGACCCAGACCTCCCTCCGGGGCCTAGACCTCCATCCTGGGTTCAGACCTACAACTGGGTCCCAGACCTTCATGCCAGGGCCCAGAATTCCATCCCAGGACCCTGACCCAGAATCCAGTCCTCTATCAGGTGCCCAGACCTCCATCCCAGTATCCAGCCCTCCCTTAGGGGCTCAGACCTACATTCAGTTCCCAGACCTTCATGCCAGGGCCCAAAACTCCATCCCAGGACCCTGACCTCGAACCTAGTATCCAGTCCTGTATCGGGTGCCCAGATGTCCATCCTAGGACCCAGATCTCCATCTGGGGCTGAGACCTACATCTGGGAGTTTATTAATTGCTGCAATAACAGAAGCCAGAGTATCAGCAATTCCCTAATTCCCAAAGGCCAACACCAGGTCAGATAATACTTGCATACACAGTGGATTACATTACATGAGGAACTCAGAACATAGGGAACCCAATCTTTTATATTGGGCCTAGGCCTGCCTGACCTTTGCCCCTTTGGGAGACATTATCTTTATTTTATTGGACAGTAAACCAACCTTCCCAGAGAGACACATTATCTCTTCCAAAGCTGTTCATTATACAAGCATCCTTGAAAAATCACCCACACCTGGGCCTGTTTTCTAGAGCAGTACCTCTCTCTGTTCATAAGCTTAAGTAGAACATGAGAGACCCCTGGAGAACAGTCCATGAAACTAATGACACACTAACAGAGGCAATACATTTTGGTTCAGGCAAGTATTTTTTAGCAGCTTCCTCCCCTAAAGTATTTCAGGAGCCGATGAAGATCTCTTTCTTTCTTCTTTTTTTTGTTTCCTATTTTTACTTTGACAAATGTCTTGTCTATACAATCCAGGAGTGGGACAGAGTGGGACCCCGGATGGAGGTCTGGGTCTGGGATGGAGGTCTGGGTCAGGCCCTGGATGCAGGTGTGAGCCCTAGCATGGAGGTCTGGGCCCCAGATGGAGACAAAAATTAGCTAATATTTGAGTGTTTACCGAGTGCCAGACAATGTGCCAAGTACCGTCTATTGTTTAATTCTCAAAACGACACTAAGGGTAAATATACTTAATGTCAGTTTACAAATGAGGAAACTTAAGGCACAGAAGGGTTAATGTGCCTAAGATACCATTAAGCAGTATTAGCAGAGGATTCAGGCCTTGAGCTATCTTCCTCCAACACTCACCAGAAAAAAAGGATCAAGTTTTCAGCTGGTAACATGGCCTGTCCCAACTCAGGGCAGGTGACTTAGAAAATTATCTATAGATTTCCCCTATTAACCCCAAACTAAAAAGATTTGTCAATTCAGTGCAGATGTCCGATTTTGGTAGCGACAATTTCATTAAATTTAAATTGAATAAAAACTATGTAATTTCTAGAACGTATGCAGTTTATCTGTTTTGTTGGGAGTGCAGCTCCAAGTGCAGTTCCTGCACAGAAAAGAAAGCAAGCATTCAGCTCTTCCAGTTTCTAAGGGAGGTGAGGCAGAGGACAAGGGGGTTGGGATGGACATCAGATTGACGACATTGCAGTGTAACATCTGGAGCTGCTGTCTGATGCAACTGAACATTCTGAACCATATCTGAATTAAGAGCACTGTTGAAGGTAAGGGATGGTGAACAGCCTTCCCTGTAGTCAGAAGTAGAGAATTCATATCTGAAATGGGAGGCAAGGGCATGTGAGAAGGGAAGCTAGGGGTGAGATAAGTTTGAAGAACATGAACTTCTACATTAACCCCTGGGAAGACTGTGGGGAGAATCTATAGATATAAAAGGCTAATATGCTAAGTGTCCAACCATCTGGGTAATGTCATGTAGCAACACCCGGCTTCCTCTCCCTAGTGACTAGCCTCCTTGTAGTTCTTCAGCCCAGGAACAGGACTTGCTTTATAGCCAGGTGGAAACACTTTACACTTTAACCGAGTGTCTGTGAAGCATTTTCCTGTGCCTCATCTTGTTTGACCTTCACAGAAGTCCTGGAGTAGGTAGATAGGAGACTTGGTGGAATCCTATTTTCTTTTCATTAGCTGGAAAATGAAGATTTAGAAAGCTTAGAAACTTGACCAGACTAAAAAGAAATAAGAATGATGGGCCTTGAAAATGACTTCCGGTTTTCTCACTGCGCAGAATATAGTCAAACACTGCTGCAGTTAAATATTTTACCCTTTGTTCTCCCTGCATGATCTACAATAATAATCTGCTTTGTGTTGATTATTTACTGCTGTGTTGCTGACAATTACCTGAAAGTGAAGTTGGGGGTGCTTCACTGGGCTGGAAAAAGTTTAGCTAGATCAGAAAGCAGGTCTAATGAAGCAAGTTTATTCTATATCTATAAAAGGCTAAGTTGACTCGCACATGCACGATACACATAAAGCTCTCGCTGGTGCCAATAGCACATGTGTGTTTCTGTCATTGTCGATCATGAATTTGGTTGACACTTCTATTATAAAGGGTGAATAGTGGTATGAATTCGTGCACTGGGCCACTAGTAAATATATAAAAGGACAGACACAGGGTATCTGCTGGTTCAGTTGAACCAGCAATATTAATGAGAATAAGAGACCAGGAGGGATATGAGGTTGTAATCAGATTGGTGGAGCGGCATTCTAATTTTCAGAGGTAGGGAGGTTCTTGAAGCAATGACAAGTCTAAATTGCAACCAACCACGGGAAAAGTGCTGAGAAGAGTTAAAATCAAATAAAACGTTTGAGGCTACAGTGGCACTAAGGATGGGTCATTCATTCACTTGTGTACAGCTATTATCATTGTAAGAAGAAAAAAAAAGAGAGAGAATGCAGTATATAAGCTAGGTGCTGAAGTTGCAGTGTGTGATTAAGGTCCAGAAGTACAAACAGTAAAGGGCCCATAAAGATGTCATGAATCACCCCGCTGGTGTGGTTCAGTGGTTGAGCATCGACCTATGAACCAGAAGGTCACAGGTTCAATCCCCGTGGGGGCACATGCCCCAGGTTGCGGGCTTGAACCCCAGTGTGGGACTTGCAGGAGGCAGCCGATCAATGATTCTCTCTCATCACTGATGTTTCTATCCCTCTCTTTCTGAAATCAATAAAAATATATTAAAAAAAAAAGATGTCATGAATCTCACACAGGCAGTTCTGCATGAGAAGGGAAGAGTAATGACCTGGAAGATGCCAAGACCACAAAGCCTCTTGTGGACACTGTAGAAGAACAAGCAGGCTCCACCTGCAGAGGTTGAGGCCTGGAGAGAGCCACCTCTAGTAGGGAAAGACATGTGAGTTCTGTAAAGAGGAAAATAGAGATGACCCAGTTTACATGGAGTTTTAGAAGGCAGGGTCCATACATGTGATACTCCCAAAGTAATGCTCCTGTGTAAACTTTGGCTGTAACAACCTCCGAGCCTGTTAACACGTTGAGTGCCATGTCAGTCACCGGTGCCGCCAGCATTATCGGTGAAATCGAGTATCGCGGGCTTAACGGAAAGTAAGACAAAACAGGCTTGGCGCTTAACGTGTTAACTTAGGTACAAAATAGGGACAGCATAGCAGGTCCGTGAATAACATCATTTTGTTAGAAGAGATGCCAGAGGAACTGCACTCGTTTATATCTAGTAATCTAGGGTAAAATTGGTTTTGTTATATGCCATTTAGCTAAAGTTGCAGAGCCTATCAACAAGACTTACTGTACCTGTTCCATGAGGTAGTGAGGATAAACTGAGATGTGAATGTGCCTCACAACTATAAAGCAATTCAAGTTATGGGACTCGAATTTGGGAAAATGCCATGCTGAATAATCTGGATTACCAACAATGATTATAGCTGTATGTGCATGAAGATTTTACGCCAATGTATTTTTAGTCCACGTGTGAAACTTAAACTCAGGATGGTAAAAAAAATTATAATCAAGGGTGTCAAATGTCCCAGAGAGCATCTGACACAGTTGAGAATAAAAAGAATATAGACATGGCAGGTCACTGCTAACTTGCTAACTATGAGAGCGGTATTTTTTATGTGATTTTCAAGGAATATGACCTGGATATAAAATGAGTATTTCAGTGCTTACCAGTTAAGAGCTTTCACAGATGTCAATGAATGCTTAACAGCAATCTTATGAGGTAGATTACTTCTGTTCTCCAGATGGCAAAAATGAGATTGTGCAAAGCTCTCCTGTAAACCAAGGGTTGAGAAACTTATTCTATAAAGTGCCAGTCTGTATATTAGGCATTGTGGGTCATACAGTCTGTAGCAACTACTCAGCTCCGATGTAGCATGAAAGCAGCCCTAGAGAAGACATAAATGAATGTGGCTGTGTTCCAGTAAAGTGGTTATTTACCAAAACAGGTCCCATGGGCTGTTTGCCAACCCCTACTCTGAATATGATCTAATTTCAAACCCAGCATCTTCTGCACTGTACCACAAATACAATTTAGTCCAATGGTCATAGAGGACAAGTAAATGTAATCTAGTAGTATGACTAGTAACACTGCTGCATCATTTAGGGCTATTGTACTTTTCAACCATTAAAGTTTGGGCGTCAGGCATTAAATCAAGCACATTAGCAAAATCATGATCTGTGACTTTGTTTTTAATTATCTTAAGCCTTATGATGACATAATTTACAATTTTGTGTTGATCTATTCTCTACTTTAATCCTAGTGAGCTGGCAAAAGCACCATTACCAATCACACACATATATAGTCAATGAATAGCTATTCAAGACAATCCTGAATTATAACTTAGTCTGACCTAAAGAATTCACAGTTTGCTCCTATCTTGTCACGCTGAATTTTAAAAGCACCTGACCTTAAAGATCATCTATAAAATGTAGAAGTGTTAAATACTCTTTATTTGATATTATACAGAAACCACACTAAAATGCCTTTCATTCAGTAAAAGGCAACAGTTTAGATACAGGGATTTTTATTAAATGGCATAGTTGGGACCAAAGAGATAAAACGATCACTGCCAGCTTATCTGCAGCCCTTCCTTTTAACAAGCTAATGAACACAACCTGAAACACAAGCTAGTCTTGCAGGTCTAAGAGACAGTGAAGGGGTTTCCTCAGAATTTAAACATATTAACACAACCAGTCATAGAAATCTAAATGTAAGCCAATCTCCTACAGGTTTTGAGATGGCACTGGCCACCTCTGTGAAAAGTTGAACACTAGGAATCAAGTCCCACCATATTGTTAGAAGGGAGGACAGTGACAGTGCTTGCTGAACCAAAATTATCATCAAAGCTCAAAAAGCTGACCATATTCATTAAACCTCAAGCCAATCTTATTTAAATCAGGACTGCCCGAAAGAAATGCTCTATTAGCCATTCATGATCTGAATTCTGGTGTATGAGATCAATTTAAATATGGTACACATAAAAAAAGTCATGAGACATTTGTAATAAATAAGGCAGTGGCCAACTATTACTCATTAGTAGCTTTTTTGAGATAAGCTATCAAGTCTGCCCTCTCTGCGCTCTTCTTAATGCCAGCGAAGATCATTTTTGTTCCAGGGATGTACTTCTTGGGATTCTCCAAATACTCCATCAGGGTCGCCTCACCCCAGGTGATACCTAAACAAGAAGAGAGGTGCCAGTAAGTATTTCACTCCTTTTAAAGCGTCCACCTCAGGTCACACCCATGGAATGTGCTTCAGTGATTTCACCATCTCCCTCTTACCTTTGTTCTTGTTGGCATCCGTGTAAGAAAATCCAGGGGCCTGACCTGTCTTTCGCCCAAAGAGACCATGGAGATTTGGCCCAGTCTTGTGATTGCCTCCCTTCTCCACAGTATGGCACTGGGCACACTTCTGAACAAAAATCTTCTTGCCCTTCTCAACATCACCCATTTTTAAATCTAAAAATAAAAGACTCAATTTATTAAGTCTTTCCTCCAAGTAAAAATATAGTGGGACCCAATCAACCAGCGATCACCGAATTACTGATCCACTGCAAATCTATGACAACCACCTTCACTGAGTACATTTGCAATAGACGCTTTAATACCAAAATACTATTTGGAAGAACTTTCTTAAAAAAACACGCCTTTGCTTCAGCGAGGGAGAGTCAACGCCCAAGCAAGCGAAATGGGAACCTAATTCGAAAGTGTTTCGAAGGATGAGGTCAAGGTCACGAGTGGAGTTTGAAGGTGAGCACGGTAAGCCAAAATCGCAGAAATTCCGACTAAAAATGCCTATTTATCCAGACTACAAGTTAAAGCCACCCTCGCACTGAAGAGGAGACGGAGTACATTAAGGAAAGGGGTGAAGGGGTGGAGGCCGCCTCGGCCCGCGCAGGTCACGCTAAACGGCCTGGCTGCGGGTGAAAGGTCAGCGGCGGGCGGCGAGGGACCACGAGGTCACCCATCCCGGCCGGTTTCAAGGAGACTGTGACGAACACTTCCTGAGATGCGATGGCGGGTTTAGGGGTGAAGAGACAGGTGGTCGGAAAAAAATTACCCCTTCTCCGAGAAGCAGCCGCTTTTACTCTCCTTGAAGAAGAATGTGGAGCGCTGCGCACCTCCTCCCACTCCCGCCCTCACCCCGGAAAGCAAGCCCCTCCGCCCGGACTACCGGAGGGCCCCGTTCACTCGGCTCCGCTTCCAAGCCGCCTCCGGGGGGTCTCAGGGCCCCGACCTAGTTGGCTGGGCCCCCCCGCCCCCATCTCAAGCCGTAGCCCACCGGGTTCAGACTGACCACAACTCGGGGTCCTAACTCTTGGCCCGGCCTGCCCGCGTGGGCTCCACCCGGAGATCCCAGGCGCAGGCCTCCAACCGCC